TCATATGGAGTAATAGATTTTTCTTATTTTTGTCCGCTAGTTGTTCTTCATTCAGAGTAGACATTTGCCATGGGATTTTTGTTGTTGTTGTTATTGTCATTCAATTGGTGCTTTAAAGAGCTGAAAAAACAAGATCACTTTATCTTCTTGTCAGCCTATGGTCTCTCTCTCTCTCTCTCTCTCTCTCTCTCTCTCTCTCTCTCTGTGTGTGTGTGTGTGTGTGTGTGTGTGTGTGTGTGTGTGTTTCAAGAGGGCTTCTTTGTTTAGCTGTTCTGAAGCTCACTCTGAAGACCATGCTGGCCTTGACTATTCACCTGCCTTTGCATCCCAAGTGCTGGGATTAAAGGCATGTGCCACCACCGCCTGGCCAGCCGATTGTTTTTTAAAGGTTAGTTGCTTCATTACTCTTAGGAGATGTCAAGGGAAAGTGATAAGCTTGTTTCTCACTGCAGTTGGAATACCATCTGAGATGGTTTAAGCAGAGGCTGAAGGTGGCCGGCCACACTACTCATTATGAATGACCCCAGGCCATGGATATCATCCTGGGCTGATGTGCTTCTTAGCCACCTGCCTTACTACTAAACAAGAACGAGAGCAGATGGCAAGGGGAGCAGAAAGGTCAAGAAAAGCCCTGGGAGGAGGAGGGCATCTTGGAGTCAGCTTGCTCTTTTTTCTCCTATCTGTTGAGTGCAAAATGTCCTGGGTGATCAGCTGCCCTGGAAGCTCAAGCCCACCAGAGTGGCTGACACTGTCTATTAGCCCCAGGTGGCTGACGACAACATCTTTAATCTTACAGTGAAATCGCTGCCAGGTCCTTAAGAGCAGGTGGCCTATCCGGGAATAGAGACTGTGCAAATGTGTCAAAGTCAGGAGAGAACTGTGAGGGAGGGTGGGCTGTATAAAAAGATTTCATACTGTTGATGACTCTGTTTACGTCATCACCTGAGCAGACAGCAGTAAGTGCAATACTGGGTTCCTTGAAAAATACTGCTTCTGATTTGAAAGAATCTTCCTAAACCATTCTTTCTTCATCATTAAACATGTTCTAAGCAGTTTAATCCCCTCACTACTTACCCTGAGACTATAAGTTGTAGAAATATGGTCAGAAATTTGCTCCAAAGGTCGCATAAACCCTAACTGGTTTTCCTAGGTGCTTTGAATCTTGCATGTTGGTGCTCTAACTATTTTGACAGTCATTTCCTAGCGGAGTCTCTCCATGAAAAGCATTTTTCTAGGCATCGCTACCGCTTGCTATTTCTTTGTTTGATTTCAAAGTTCGCATGAAGATGAACCTGGAGAAATTTGAGACTTCCATTCTTATTTGGAACATCCTGAGATGTGCTCTGCCTTAGAGTTTTTGCTTGAGGTTTGAAATGCCAAACATTTGAGGCTTTGATACAGAAAATGGTTCTGAAGTACGAGAAATGGTTCTTTGTGATCCTCGCCTACGTATTGATCCAGTGCAGTAAGGGCCTGTCTGTTCATGAGAGATGTATAGTCTAGACAGGAAGAGGGAAGTGGTGGGCAGGAGGAGACAGCCGGCAGAGCTGTGTGGAGTTAAGCTCTGTGGACAGCCACCCACTGGAGGCCTAAGTCTTGCAAAAAGATTAGTAAAGCTAGAGTTTCAAAATGAAAAATCATGACCACATAAGGCAGGTGACTCAAAGCCAAATAATCTTTCTTGGTTAAATGTGATGCAAACATAAGATGTCTGAGACTTGTCTTCCTCATCATATGGTAACTCCATTGAACTTCCTTTCATGTCTGTATATATTTTAGAAAGCTTTTCATAAAAGTAGGTTTCCATATGGCTTTTCAAGAGACCATTAGTGTTCGTTGTCCCTCCCAATAGTCTATCCTCTGGTCTATTCTCCCATCCCCCACACCCTTTAATTCTCATATTCTGATTTCCTCTCCATCTCCTCCTAACATTACGTTCTATGGGCCTCTCTTTAGAAGATCCTCTCCTTCCCTCTGGTCCCTAACATGTCACCTAAACTCTGTGACTCAGAGAGTATCTTGAATGAAACACATAGGACTAAAGCATAAAAGCTAACATGTACGTATCATGGAAATCATGCAGTGTTTGTTTTTCTGGATTTAGGTAACCTAACTCAGGATAATTATGTCTAACTCTGTCTTAGTTAGGGTTTTACTGCTGTGAACAGGCACCATGACCAAGGCAAGTCTTGTAAGGATAACATTTAATTGGGGCTGGCTTACAGGTTCAGAGGTTTAGTCCATTATTGTCAAAGCAAGAGCATGGCAGCATCCAGGAAGGCATGGTGCAAGTAGAGGTGAGAGTTCAACATCTTCATCTCAGGGATGCTAGGAGAATACTCCCTTCCAGGCAGCTAGGGCTAGGGTATTAAAGCCACACCCACAGTGACACACCTACTCCAACAAAGCCACACCTTCTAATAGTGTCACTCCTTGGTCCAAGCATACACAAACCATCACAAGCTCCATCCATTTATTTGTAAATTTTATTCTTCTTAACAGTTTAATAATATTCTGTTGTATAGCTATACCATATGTTCAATAGCCGTTCAGCAGTTGATAGACATGTAGGCTGTTTTCAATTTCTGACTATTATCAATAGAGCAGCCATAAACATAGATGAGCAAGTATCTTTGTAGTATGCTCTAGAGCCCCTTGGGTGTATGTATGCCCCTTGGGTATAGCTGGGTCTTATGGAAAATTGATTTTCAGCTTTTTGAGAACCCTCTGCACTGATTTCCTTAATAGTTGTACCAGTTCACATATCCCAACAGCAACGAACACATGATCCCCATATCATCACCAGCCTCTATTGTCATTTATTTTATTAATCTTGTCCATTTGGACTGGAACAAGATGAAATCTCAAAGTACTTATTTTTTTTTTTAATTTCCATTTCCTTAATGGCTAAGGATGTTGAACATTTTTAAAAAAAGTGTTTGTCAGCCATTTGTGTTTAATCTTCTGAGGACGCTTTGTTTAGTTCTTTATCTGATTTTTAAGTTGGGTTATTTGTTTTCTTGATGTTCAGTTTCTTTTAGTTATTTGTATATTCTGGACACTAATCTTCTGTCAGATGTATAGTTGACAAATATTTTATTCCCATTCTGTAGGCTGACTCTTGGCCTACAAATACGATATGATATTACTAAGAGTGGATTACATCTTTTTGATTTGTTGGTCAAAGGGGTTCTATAGATGACCTGAACATTATAGGGCATTATTAATGCTATTTACTGATTACCCTCCAAAACCTCAAAGTAAGAACTATTGCTGAAGACACTGTATATACTTTTACCGTTGAACATGGAAAAGTTGAGTTGGTGATCAACTGTAAGCTAGGGTTAATAATGCTGGAAAGTATAAAACAAATTATCAGAGGAGAAAAGTAATGAACAATCTCACCAGCTACAAACTCTAGGAGCTACAGTCGTGAGCTGCATGGGTGATATGCTCACTAGGTAACACTGGCACAGTGTTATGAGAGTAACCAATCACTTTTAAAAAGTTGGATTTAAAAAGTCTGCTCTATGGGTTGGAAACAATACCTGGCAGTACTGTTAATGAGGTCAAGTACCAGAGGCTAGGTAGACCATGAGGTCTAGAGGAAAATGCTACAATTATTCTGCTAAATAAACACAGCAATAAAATGGCCCCTAATGACATATTGTTTTTATACCCTTAGATCAGTATATTACCCATCCCTCATCAGGGGAACTTCTTGTTGCAGTAGATGGCAATCAACATAGAGATCCACAACTGGACAATCATTAGAGCATGAGAAACATTGAGACACTCAGCCCTAAATGGGATGTCTTCATGACACCTCTCTACTCAAGGTTCAGGAACCTATGTAGAAAAGGAGACCAAGACACTGCAAGAGCCAGCAGTGGATGTCTTCAAGGAAACATCTTGCAGACACGACAAGACTGATACATTAACAAACTTATAGAGACCGTGGCAGCATGCACAAGATCTACACTGGTTCAAACCAGACGAAATTTCAGCCCTGGAAAGTGAATGTGGGCATAAAGTCCCACCCCTGGCCAACAGTCTGTTTGCAATTAATAGCTTTGAATTAATAATTCTTCAGTTGAGTAATACTGGATATCTCAAGCACACTCCAGGGTCTAATGCTTAAGACTATTTGACCAACGGAAATTGAACTATTGAACCCCTCCCCCTCTCTTCCTTTTGTGCTTTGTTTTGTTTTTTTCTAAGGGTGAGAGAAAGAACATGGAGTTGGGGAGATTTGAGGGAAGGGAAACAACATAATCAAAATATACGTCATAAAATTCTCAATATATAAATAAAAGCATAAAAAAGAAACAAAGGAAAAAAATCTGTTACCAGCACACACACACACACACACACACACACACACATACACACACACACACGAAAACAAAACAAAACAAACAAAACAAAACAAAACAAAGCATTTTTCCTGGAAGGAAAGTGGTTGATATGAGGATTCTTACTGGTCTTCAGAAGACACATTCTTTGCCACATATAGCTAGCATTTTGGTTTTGGTTGGGTGAGTGGGGAAAGACCCTTCTTATGCAGGCAAAGCTGGCTTCAAATTCAGGAGTCTCTTGCCTCATTTCCTCAGTTCTGTAATTACAGACATGGATAACTATGCCTGGCTATCAAATTTAGAATTAAGTTTGGAAGAATTTCAAGTTTTTCTGTTAATTTATCTTAGCCACATGTCTGACGCTGTAACTTCTCCTCACAGAAACATCTTGAATGCTTTTTCCTTTCAGGAGAATATTCTCGAAAATAGTCTGTTGAAAGAGAGAGTTTGAGAACATCTGATGTTTAATCAACTGAAAACTAATCTACAAGAGGTGATTTTGACCACTCACGACTTGCTTGTTTGCTTGGTTACTGAGGTAACATTATTGAACGTGGAGGATTGCATCATTGGCCTTAAATCTTCACCTACTTCCTGTGCAGCACTCTTTGCTGGATGATTTTGCAATTTATTTCACTAGAAGAGCAGAGAGAAGTTGAGTGGCCCAGCAGTCTCTATCTAAGAGTTGTCTGCTTTTGATACCGAAGTGTTTCACATTCTAGGAAGATGGTAAGGCACACTCTTAGACCCCTTTCCTTTGGTCTTCATCATGTGACATATTTGGACAGTGGAGTAAGGTGAGAATTTCATTGTGTCAATTCTGAGACTTGCTATTAATAGACTTGCATGTTTGTGCTATCTGTGCTCCTGCCACCACCATGAGGAGGACATGCTAAGATAACTCACAGGTCCTCAGAAGGATGAGGACATGGAACAAAGCAGAACTCAGGAGCTCAGTTAAGCCCAGTTTACATTAGCTACAGTCAAGCTACAACTGATACATGAGCGGCAATAAAAATGTCTGTGTTTTGAATCACTGAGTTTGGCACGCTCTAATATAGAACATGAGTGACCTATAGAAATAAATTTTACTACTCTCAGGCTCAGGTTGATATAGATATCATATAGACATAGATAGTTCTTGTTACTACCATTTGAAGTAGTACCTTTTGTCTTGCTGTTTTACAACTGGAGAAACAGACACACAAGAAGCTAGAGTAAGTGCCCATGGTAAGCAATGGGGATGTTTCCAATTCTTTGACATTATTAAGAAATACAAGCTCATTGTGAAAGATTGTCTTAGGTAGGATTTTACTGCTGTGAACAGACACCATGACCGAGACAACTTTTACAATGACAACATTTAATTGGGGCTGGCTTACAGGTTTAGAGATTCATTCCAGTATCATCAAGGCGGGAACATGGCAGCATCTAGGCAGGCATGGTACAGAAAGAACTGAGAGTTTTACATCTTCATTTGAAGACTGCTAGCAGAATACTGACTTCCAGGCAGCTAGAATCAGCCCACACCCACAGTGACACACCTACTTCAGCAGGGCCATACCTACTCTAACAAGGCCATACCTCCTAATAGTGCCACTCCCTGGCCTGAGCGTATACAAACCATCACAAAGACTCAAGAAATCTAGCAATATAAATAGGCAAGGCAAACGGCTTTTGCTTCCCTTCCTGCCTCCCACCATTCTCATATTCTTCCTCTGTGACGTAATCGGTTTTAACCTTTTGAATTAACTCCTTCCAAGTGGATTTTCTATGCATTTTATAAACACGTTTCCCTTCTTAAATTTTTATATAACTGGAAATTATATATCGTCTGCAGGATTCTTCTCCCGGATGGCACCGCTCTTTCTTGGCAATCCATATGGAGGCATACTATGGTCTTTTTTTAAACAACTACATGTCACTCATAATATGGAGCTGTCAGGATTTGAGCATCGCAATGGATTCTAGTTTTCTTCATCCCGAATGCCAGTTCTATGAACTTTCTTTTGACACAACTTGGGGAGTATATGTGTATTTGTATGGGGGAAAAAATCTCAGAAATGAATTCAGTTCACAGCCAATTACGTCTCAGTGCTAAACATTTTAAAAGAAAATATGTGTAAAAGAAAGTGACAGACTAGTGTTTGTGCACCATAAGGGAGTGCTCATCCTATACTGTGCTTTCCTTTCCCTCTGGCAGGCAGCTGCGCGGCAACCATAGCCATGGCAGCCTGGGAGCTACATCTGCCGAGTCTGCTTGAAGATGAAGGAGGCTGTGGTGCTTAATTTCCCATATCATGTGCTATGGATTCCTCTTTGGAAGCTTTTCCTATCATCCTGAAAGACTCCACCAACTACTAATATTTGCTGGTTATACAAGTTCATGGTAATTTCTTCAGTAGGAACATTCGTCCAAGAGAGGGCAAAGTCATGCTGTATAACTGGGTATATTCAGTTAGTTTAAGGTGGTTTCGTTCACGAGTTCTTTCTGGGCTGTTAGTCAAAAGGCCTCATTTGGGTAAGAGTCTCAAGGTCTGGTTCAAGTCTGTGGAAGAGAGAATGGGATTAGTATGTATTACATACGTGTTCCTGTTGTGCATTCCAAATTCCTTCTTCAATTCAGAATTACTAAAAATCAATCACATGTCAGATACAATCATACATACTGGAAAGACAGTATAAATAAAAGAAACGATCCTTGCCTTCGGGTATACTGGGGAAATACTCACACTTTTCACTTTACTGTGAAAGTACATGGTACAATAGAAGCAAGCAGAAAGATTGTGACCCTCACCTGCTGGATGCTGGGTAAAGGCTCAAGGGTGAATGACTTACAGACTGTGAGAAGCTTTGAGCCTCCTTGTCACAAAGACATGTCCCAGGACATGGATATCACAGTTCATGCCACCAATTATAAATTATCAGTATACATCTCCATGGATTTTTACAAGTTGAGTCTGGTTGTACAACCATAACCCAGATAAATGAAGCAGTCCTAGCACCCGGGTTGTGCGCTTCTACTCCCCAAAGTTATTCAGTGTTCTGATGTCTGTCCCTTGAGTTCTGACCTTCATGTAAATAGAAGCATGAGGCATATTTTCTTTTGTGGCTTACTTGTTTGGCTCAGTATTCTACCTGCAGACTTTATCCACACAGTCACGAACGGTAGCAGCTCACTGATTTTTATTTTTGTTAGTATTCCATTCAGTATGATTGTATTGAGATTTAATTACATACTTTAATTATGTAGAACAAAAGGTGGTTGTTTCTATTTTGAGGCTGTTATGATTGGCAGTACTATATTCTAACAATATATTGTGTGGGTGTGCATATATATATATATGCATATATATAATATACATACATAAACAAGTTTGGTATTTTTGTTAGTTCATATACCTAGTGAAATTTCTGGGTTATGAGATATGTTTATTTTGAGATTTGGAAAGATTGTCAAACTATTTTCTATTGTTTCACATCTGATTTTTTTTTTCTACTCTTGCTAGTATCTCACTTGGCAACAATCTCAGTACATATGTCTAGGTGACTTCCATACACCTACTCTCTGAAGACCATTTTAGAGTCCCAAGTGTCTGGACTATATTCCACGGGGTGGGGGGTGGGGGAGACACAGATTCTGAGAGGACATGTTCTTTGGCTCCCTGGATTCCTTACTCCCTGGTAAGAGGGGACCACAGCCAGTGTGGACCCATGTTGTCTCTGTCTGAGGACAGAACCATACTTACTTGTAGAAGAGTCCCAGGCTTCTTTACCAAGCCTTGACATTATTAGCCATCTTTAATTAGGCTGTTCTTCTAAGAATATTGCATTCAGTGTGTGTTGAATTGATCAAGGAGGTCGCATAACTTTATTTACTTTTTCCCCCTGTCATTTGGATATGCTGCCTTAGTAAGTATCTATTTCACACAATTTCCTGTTGCCTTCTTGGTCAATAATATTATCTTCCTTTTACAATGGGGAATCTTAAACACAGAGAAAATAAACAATTTGTTCAAGATGCCGCAACAATGAAGTAGAACTATCTTGGTTTGATTATAGGCTGTCTAACTTTCTAATCCACTTTTCCAGGCTACTCAAGCAGTCAGATAGCCAACACCAACCACTAAACGGAAGTTAAACATCTTTCAGGAATCAGTTAAATACAGCTTGGGTTCCTCCTTGCTGGATGGAAAGTTGGATTTAAAATGTCTGAGTTTGGCATTAATTCAGAGGAGAAGGCAGTATTGAGGAGCCAGACAATAGCAAGTAAATAACTAAAAAATAACTAACCTCTGATTTGATCTGTAATTATCATAGCACATTTTATTAAGCATGGTGCTTAACAATTAAATTTATGTAGATTCTCTATAATCTTCATAGCAACCCTATGGGGACATTATTATCTCTTGGTAAAAAGAAGACTCACGTTGAAAGAAGCATATGTTACAAATTGGGATGAGGTATAACCAGGCTTCTAAATTCAACCTCGCTCTGGCTCTACAGGTATGACATCTCCACCACATTTGACTTATATCAAAGTAAAGTCCTACACAGCTCTAAATGGAAAGTCTCCATCAAATCCACCCCTCAGAGCTCAGGGCTCCCCACAGAAGAGGTGGAGACAGTGCAAGAGCCAATGGGGACAGAGGACACCAGAACAGTCTGAATCAACTGAGAGACGATCATAAGAATTTACAGAGACTGAAGCAGCACGCTCAGGTCCTACATGGGTCTGCACCAGGTCCTTTGTGTAAATATTATAGCTTTCAATGTAATGCTTATACGGAGCTCTGGAGTGTGTGACTGAGTGGATCTCTGTCTCCTGTGCCTTCTCGTGGGCTCCTTTTCTTCAGTTGGCTTGCTTTGTCCAACTTTAATGTGATGGTTTTGTTTTACTTTATTGTATTTTCTTCTGTTGCATCTTGTTCTCTCTCAGACGCCTGTTCTTTTCTAATGAGAGACAGAAAGAAGATGGATTCAAAAAGGAGAAGAGGTGGGGTAGAACTAGGAGAAGTAGAGAGATGGGGGCTAATAAGGTTGTATTGTATGAGAAAAGAATCTATTTTTAATTAGAAGAAAAAACTTATAAAGGGCTTATGCTTTCTGGGTTCCCCTCTGTCTTGTAGGGAGTCTTTTTCTCTGTGTGCCTGCAGTATTTGTACATTTACTTGCCTCTAATAAAACTTTCCTTTGGCTGGGGTAAAGGGGCAGAGAGTAAAATTCTGTGACTCTACCTCTAGCTGAGAGTCTATGAACTGATAGATACAGAATAAAAATGCTTAGGCCTGTGGGACATGAGTTGTGGAACTGACAGAAACCTGTAAGGCACTATCACTGGGAAGAGCCAGGGAAGGAGATATTTGCTATCAAAATGAAAGTCCGCTCGAGGGAACCAAGCCAAGGGACACAGGCAAGGTGTCAGATGGTCATGGGACAAATGCTGTAGTCAACAGGAAAAAAAAAAAAGATGTAGGAGAGTATGTGATAGCAGATATACAGGGAAGAATGTCTAGGGGTTCGGCAGATTGTCCTGTATCAGAGATGCATGGTGTCCAGGAAGGTAATGCTTTATAGCTTTGGTCCGTTATGTGAAGTCCTACTGGCTGCTGTCCCCAGTAACTGCTACTATGACTGCTTAAAACACATACTATTTCTTTATAGTTCTGAAGACCAAAATCCAAAATGGTATTTTAAGCATCTAAAGAAATTGACAGGATTGATGGGCCACTTCGACCCTGGGCTATCAGAATAATCCTCTCCCTCATCCTTGTATCTTCTAGACCTATCGTGGTTCATGACCATTATTTAATCACCGGATCAAAAACATCAGTTTTCCCTCCACTGTTTTTTTTTTTGTTGTTTTTGGTGGGGGGGAGTGTTACTCCTCTTCTGTGGTTGAATCTCACTACCCCCCATCTTATTATGACATTTGTGGTTGTATTTGGTAATTGCATGTAAGGCCCAGTTGGTAGCACAGGATTCTCTCACCCCATCCTGTAAACCTTAATTCAATCATGTCTACACGTAAATATTTTTCCCTATAAGATACTGTGCTCAGTTCCTGGGGTTGACTGTTAAAGCTCTCTGTTGGTCATTACAAGTCCACTGTACCCCCACTACTTTAATTCACTTTTCAGTGTATGTAGCTCTTCCCCTCCCCACCTCAGAGGTATTTAGAAATAATAAATCAGCTTGTTGAGTTATCCAGAAAGCAGAAAGTTTCTGCTCTGCATGTCCACCTCCGTGGTTTCCACGGACCATGTGCTTCCCCAGGATCTGGTAAAGCGTTCCAGGCAAGCACAGACACGATTAGCATTTCTGTTTTACCTCAGAGAGAGACTCTTTATGAGCCGCGGAGTGTCTTACTCTGAAATCACCTTTCTCCGAAGCTTCCTTTTCTAGGAACCTGATAGGAGTTCAGAATTTTCTATTTAAAACACGTCTTCCTGCACCACTTCTGTTCCGCACATCTAGCGAATCCCTGTCAGCAGCGACAGGAAGCTCACTTCCGTGGAGGCCGGGCACACCTGTCGTGCTAGGGGCGAACATGAGCTGTCAACCATGTGCTGCCCCTGCCCACAGGCTGCCAGCTGGAAGGCTCAGCTGTGTTTCGGATGCAGGCTCTTCTCCAGAGCCCGGGGCTGCCCTCCCTTCCTGCTTTTCATCTTCCACATCGTTCAGATTGTGTGAAGCTTTGCCTCGGGGGCCCCGGGGACAACTTTTTTTTTTTTCTGTAACCATTTGTTGTCGGTTCATTCAACGCGTGTTTGCTGAGTGTCTGCTGGGGAGCTGGCATTTTGCTGCCTGCTGAGGACTTACGGAGGAGCAAAGCATGGAGCTTGCCATCAGAATATCATGCTTAGTTGAGATATGAGACTTGCACATATTAGTTCTGTTTGGTAGCCGGTGATAGAAACCACAGTCACACTGATTAAACATCAATTGTCTAAAGAGAAATGGCCAAGGAGAGTAATGGGTATCACCCAGAGTCCAACCAGAGAAAGATCTAAGCAAAACACACACACACACACACACACACACACACTCACACATTGACACACTCTCACACACACATTCACACATGCACACTCACATACTCTCACACTGACACTCATATGCACACACACACACAGAGACACACACACACTCTCACACACAGACCTATTATATGAATTTGACAAGATGGTTAGCTAGGCTCCATAAAGCTGTGGTTTTTGTTTCTAATGCTAGAATTTGAAGATATTCGAACTTGCTGACAGAGAAGCTAGCTGGAGAGGGCGAAAGATTGAAAGACTAGGGAGAGATTGGTACTCCTGAGCATGGCTGGAACCCACGAGAATGTACAGGAGTCCTGGCCAGTCCCTGGCCATCTCCTGACTTTTCCAGCATACGGGAAACAAGCATCCTTTGCCATGAAATTAAGCATGCGCTTCCTCTAGGAGTTGGTGAAACTCTATGAGATTCTAACTGAAGTAAATGCACATTTGGGCCTCACAAACAGAGATCAGTAGAGGACAGAAAGGACACATGCTCATCAGTGCCTGGTGCCCCACCCCGGCTCTCACATGCACAAAATCCATGGCTGTGTACAGTTCTACCTTCTTAATCTCATGTGAAATGCCTTTTACGTTCTATGCTAATCAGAAATCAAAGGGATCTTGGGTCAGAGTGCCCTTTGCCCTGGTCTTCTACATATTACGAGCCTACCACCATATAGTGGCTTATGAGGTAACTGACGGCAGGCAGTCAGCGTTCTAAGAAATCTCAGTGGCTTTGAATTTTGACTGCTTTCTCTGAGAGCTTCATCCTTCAGTTCCGTTTAACAAGTTCAGGGAGTATCTATCTCCTTCTCTCTAGCACTGACAAATCCTAGGTTGGAATTGTCCCTGATTCGCCTAGCAGAATCGAACAGCTTCTGAGGAACTGAACAATTTCATTCAGAAGCCTTATGTCACGTCTTCTTGTAGAGTTAAAGGATGGGGTCTGTTCCTATTCTAACCGCAGATGTTGAGAAGTAGTTTCGTCAGGCAAAACCCAAGATATTGGTACTGAAAAAACAAAAACAAAACTACAACAACAAAACAAGTTAAAGATAAAAGCCTGCCAATAGCCACGTGAAACTCAGGACAAAGTGTCGCTGTCAGACACAATCATGTCAACTATGAAAGCAGCTGACTGTAGGATTTGATTACTGGGCAGACTCTGAAGGCCCTTCCTGTCTTCCTTTCTGGGCTCTTGGACTAGGTTGCCGTGTAACCTTGGATAAGTGGCTTAATCTGGCTAAAAGGCCTCAGCTGACAAGAGAAGAAGATAGTCTAACTGCATTCATCCACTGGAGAGCAATCATGTTCAACACGTGCTCGATCCTACGATAAACAAAAGCCCGTAAGTGGCTTAATATATAATAAGGGAGGCATACAAGTAGATCTGTGTATAATTGATACTTCCCTGGAAGAGGGAAAAGGACTTTCTGGATCTAAGTGAGATTTTTAGAGAAGGAAAGCCGGAAAAAAACCAAACCTTTAAAGTAGGCTTTTCTAGGGAGACAGGCTGAGGCATTCACTACATTGTGGATAGAAGATACACGTTAGCCAACCACCTAAGGGCTCAGAACAGCCAAGAGTGCACACTTGCACAGAGCCAGAAACTACTAAGCTCTCTTTCAGGAATCTAAGCAGAAATGGTTTCCTATCCTGTGCTGGCATGTGTGGTCTTTATCCTTTCTGGGATACAGGCAACAACACGATTTTGAGCACTAGGGTCTCATGAGTGATAATTAAGAATCAAGGTGTCAGCGGGGTGCAAAGATGTGGCAGAACGGGAGGTGAGCTGAGAATTCATGTCCGCTGTCCACACAGTCAAAGTTACGTGCTTGGACCTGGATGGTCACCGTTTGTTCTAACTACAGGAACTGAGTTTAGGGGGTGACTTGCTAAGATATAGCGGATTGGCTGTTCGTGAAGCAAGATAGAGAAAAAAGTAAGGGCCATGGGCCAGCTCATGGACTCACAGGCATCGTGAAGAGGCGGGGCTGCTACCTGTAAGATGGACAGCTGGAAGAATGACTTGGTGGAGCTAGAGGAGTGCTGAGCTAAGAGAGCATTGTCCATGAAGGCCAGGGCACCCATCCCATGCAGAGTCCTGAGTCCTGTGTTCTATAGTTGGCATCAGTTTATCATCTATGCAGTTTTGCTTATGATTTTTTTTATTCATTTGTTTGTTTTGTCTATCCTTGTATCAGCCAGGGGCTGAGCAGATGGCAACCCTTAGTTCATCCTAGCTTGACGTCTGCCTCAGTGGCCAAAGCTATTTTATGCCCAGGACTCATAAAAATAAAATAAAGTTAAGATGAAATCAAATTCAGGCAGGGCAGTGCAGGAGGAAGACAGAAAGAGGCAAGAGGATTGCCATTCCTCCCACAGAGCTGCCCTCAAGCATGGCAACGGTGGGCCATTGACACTTGCCTGCCACCGCCAGCACACAGTGCAGAAGGAGGTATCACCCAGCCAGCTCCATGGCTAGCCTGCAGCGGGAGCCACCACCATGTGTGAGTCTGTGGTGGACAGATGGGAGAGAAAGAATTGGAGCAGTCTGAGCATTATGAAGAGAGATGGAACTGGAGACTCGAGGGCGGAGAGGAGGAGCCATTTTGTGAGTGGCCAGCCCTCCCACCTGTGTTGAGGTTCCATCCCGCCGAAAGCCATGATTTTGTGTTCATGGCTACACAGAAGCAGGGCTTGGTGCCCGTGTCCATGACACATACTACCTCTAGAGAACATGGGGAAGTCCCTGGTCAGGGCAACCGCCTGGGACCACATGGCTGTTCTGCGACTGTGCAGAACTAGCCTGGCTCCTCACTGGCCAGTCCCATTTGTCACCAGTGACAGCATTCAGGAAAAGAGGCCCCGTGTCTCACCCAGGTAGTACAGTAGAGGTGGCCCTGGTGGCAGAGTGTAGGTAAGCCGCCCCGAGAACGAGTGTGGAAGAGCTGACTCTGCCAGTTATCTACCATGGGGTGGCATGGGAGCTGAGGTGACGGGCGCCCCACATGAGATTAGGAGAGTTAGTCCTGTCCCCTCACTGGCTGTAGCACTTGAGAGAGCGAACCCTAGCTCTGTCCCATCACTGGCTATAGCACTTGGGAGAACGGACCCTGCACCTCACCTGGGCAACACAGTGGAGCTGGTCCTGATGGTGAA